AAAGGAGGACAGAGAAGGACTATATTTTTTAGGAAGACAAGTCACATTTGAGGAGGACGGTTGGTCAGCTTAATGTTATACAAAAACCCAGAATACCATGCGTACACGAAAACCACAAATTTCACGAATGCAGAGTTGAGTCTCGTAAAAAAAAACTTTAAAACTTGATTTCCCAAAATATTTATCATGACATATTCATATTTCTGGCATGCGGGGCACGATATGTACTTGCCGATTTGTTTTAAAAAAATTACTTAAAAAGCAGACGTCTCGGTTGCTCAGCAAACCGGTTAATCGATTCTGCAATTATTTCACATTGATTCTCAAAAACAATGTTTCGATGTATGCTTAAGTTGCATAAACCTAAAAGCAAATTTTATAAGAAATTAAACTGACATTTTATTAAAACTAGTAGTAACCCCCGAAATCCGTGTGAATGCAGTAAAGAAATGTTTACTAATATTAGGAATTTAAATTTAAATATATAATTAAACGTGATATTCATTTAGCTCAAGAGTTATTTAAGAACTTCGTGAAAGACAAGAATAAATTTTGTGCTGCTAGATACCTGGAGCCTATTTCATAGAAGTGACTGGTGCGACAATTGTCGATTTTTCTATAAAATTTCACTTCCAGAAATGTCGGCGACATTTTTTCTGTTTCATATACGCTTGTAGGCAACTGTGATAATTTTTGGAAAACGACAGTGATATCATGGAAAATTTTCGACAATTGTGCTGATAATTGTCACTCTGACAAAATTGTCGCGACAAAACCAAATAGCTCCGTCCGAAAGCTTTCACAGGAGAGTTTTGTAAATTTATTTGTATGGTAACTGTTACTTTTCAATAATTTGAATATTTATTAAAACTAAAATAATGAAAATGCAATTTTTTCATGAGAATTTCATATGACTGGCGACAATATTGTCAACGACAATTTCAACACGACAATGACAATTTGTCACTTTTCCAATGGAATTTTTCATGGAATTTATGAGGTGGTGACAATTATTTTTATGAAACAAAACGCCCACCAAACCGTCGAATTATCACGGACAACATGGAAAATGCCTGTCGTTACAAAATTATCACTGTCGCTTTATGAAATAGGCCCCTGATAACCCATGATAATTTTTAAGTTAAGCCAAATATAAATTTAGTTTATTTAGTAAGTAGAGTGGAGTACTAAACTTAAATTTGTTTACTTGTTTTCATTCAAATAGAGGAATAATAACCACTGTTGCCGCGAATCATTTTTTGTGGTAGCCACCTGGTAGCTACAATTTTTTAGTTACATATACATACATATATACGTATACACCAAACATTTTCAAGAAGTAATGGTATAGAAAAACAGCATATATTTTATCCAACCAAAAACCTTTTTGTATAAAGGGGAAGTATACGACACCAGCTTGCTGGCTCCAGCATATAACTTACCAGCATGCTGGTTCAATATTTATTTCTTTTCAAATGAGGTCGAGGAAAGATGGAAATGATTAGAGCCGAAACTTCATAATTTGTCTACCATTTTGTTAAACATTGTTTTTTTTTTTGATTCACAACTGCAATATCGGGAACTTAATCTTCCAAAAACACGGCTTTGACTCATATAGTGCAAGAAATTTCGGCCAAAATACTTTTTACTTAGAAAATTGAGCTAACTTCACCACTCACGAAGGCATTTTTTGTGCAGCATAAAAGATCTGCACCGTTCGCTCGATTTTCAAAAATGGGGTGTTAAATTAAATCGCTTGGCCTGTAGATGTGCAAACTGGTTTCATTTTTTCGAAAAGAGCTGCCATCTGTTAAAATTTGAGCTCAAGTTATTTACTAATCAATGCCCTCAGATCCGCACCGTCCGTTCGATTTTCAAAATTGAGGTAGCAAATTAAAGGGCTTAGGGTGTGGGTGTTAAGAAGGTTTTACGTTTTCGAAAAATGTTGCCACCTGTTATGAAATTAAACTCAAATTAATTAAAAAGTTAAATCAATTATTAAATATAGTATCAATCGAAATAGTTTTGTAAAGGCTTTACTTAGCTACGTATAGGAGGGTTGCCACATGTTTAAAAAATGTAATTAAATTTAAATTAAAGGAATTTGGTAAGTGAATAAGGTATCGGTATATGGGTGTCATACAAAAGAGGTTTAAGAAGGTAGTAGTCTGGAAATATTTTGAATAGGGTTGCCACCTATTTGAGAAGTCTAATTGAACTATTTTATTCCCAAGTTATATGAAATGTTAGCGATGGATGTCAAATGAAAGAGCTTCAAGAAATACTTAGTTTGACAATTTAGAACATTTTTGATGTGTTTGAGGGTTGCCCAGTTTAAAGGCCTAAACTAAAATTATTTAATAAGTTAAATGAATTACTAACCGATGGTTATCAATGAAAATGGGTTTAAGACGTTTTATTTAAGAACTATATTTATGAGGGTTGCCACGTGTTTAAAAAAATGAGTTTCCACTTAATTCATCAGTTACTTGAAACATTTGAGTAGTCCACTTGCAAACAGCGTTATGTGATTTTATGATAATAAGCCATAAATTTAAAAAACGATTACGACAACAAGTAACATCTAAATTGAATCTTTTTCTTTATTACCTGAAAATTTTGATAATTAACAGCCTAAGAGCATTATAACATAGCATAACATAAAATAACATTACCAATCTACACGACCTAAAGCAGTTTTCTAAGTTTATCTGAAGATGGAGACTTTTGAAAGTTTATAAATAAGTATGATAGCTACTTTTGCAAGAGTAGTTAACATTTTATGCGTTTTTTGCAGAATATACAAAGATTTTGCACTGGGTTGTGAGTGGACATGAATCTACTTTAAATACTCGTACGTTACCCACCAAAAAATAAAAATCGAAAAAATTTTACATAGCGCACTTTGCAAGTGGACTACTCATTTATAACAATGTCAGACGATATTTAAGGAAATTTTAGTTCGAAAATAATTTTTAAGAGGGTCGCCGTCTGTTTTTAAAGTGGTATTTCGTTCAAAATTATACATAAGTTACATGAAATTTTAAAATATGTTTATCAAAGGAACGAGTGTTAAGAAATCTTTCGGATTGTGAAAAGATGGGTATCAATCGAAATGAGTTTGAAAATAATTTATTTTTAAACTTTATTGCCATGTGCTTAAAAATACTAAATTCAACTTAATTCGTCAGTTAATTGAAATATGTATAACAATTNTGTGAGTGGACATGAATCTACTTTAAATACTCGTACGTTACCCACCAAAAAATAAAAATCGAAAAAATTTTACATAGCGCACTTTGCAAGTGGACTACTCATTTATAACAATGTCAGACGATATTTAAGGAAATTTTAGTTCGAAAATAATTTTTAAGAGGGTCGCCGTCTGTTTTTAAAGTGGTATTTCGTTCAAAATTATACATAAGTTACATGAAATTTTAAAATATGTTTATCAAAGGAACGAATGTTAAGAAATCTTTAAATTGAACATTTGGTTTTTTTTGTTGAAAAATATAAGCTCAAATTATTTAATAAGTTAATCGGATTGTGAAAAGATGGGTATCAATCGAAATGAGTTTGAAAATAATTTATTTTTAAACTTTATTTCCATGTGCTTAAAAATACTAAATTGAACTTAATTCATCAGTTAATTGAAATATGTATAACAATGCCATGCGAAAGATTTTAGTTTAAAAATACCTTTAAAGAGGTTGCCACCTGTTTGATAAGTCACATTTGTTTTACTTATACGAAAGATACATAAATGAATTATCGAAATATTAGTGTCAAACGAAAGAGTTTTAAGAAAACTATCGGCTGACAATATTTTTAATTAGAATTGCCATCTATTTTTATTTTTTTTTTAAAGGTCATCGCATCTGCAACGTTATTTCGTATTTCCAAAATTGGAAGTCAAATTAAAGAACTGGGATTCTACATAGATGTGCACAGGTTTTATTTTTTGAAGTAACATGAAAACCGACACCATGCGAGACCTCTCATCACTCAGAAATGGTTAGATTAATCATTAGGAATATTTTTAAAGGTTTTTGAATAGAATGGAATGCCTATCTCGGCAGCCAGTTCG